CCGGTGAGACCCTACGGAGCCCTGGTGCTAGTGAGACCCTATCTCGCCCTGGTGAGACCAGACAGAGCCCTGGTGAGAACCCACAGTGCCCTGGTTTAACCAGTAGGGTGTCACCTGGGCTGTGTAGGGTCTCACCAGCACCAGGGCTATGTGGGGTCTCACCAGGGCCCTGAAGGGGTCTAACCAGGCTGGTGAGACCCCACAGAGCCATGATGAGACCCCACCAAGCCCTGGTGAGGCCCTGGTGCGACCCCACAGAGCCCTGGTTTAACTAGGGCTCTGAGGGGGTCTCACCAGGGCCCTGAAGGGGTCTAACCAGGCTGGTGAGACCCCACATAGCCCTGGTGAGACCCCACAGAGCCCTAGTGCTTGTGAGACCACATCTCGCCCTGGTGAGACCAGACAGAGCCCTGGTGAGACCCTACAGTGCCCTGTGGGGTCTCACCAGGGATCTGAGGGGCCTAACCAGGGTGGTGAGAGCCTACATAACCCTGCCAAGACCCTGGCAAAACTCTTCAGATCCCTGATGAGACCCTGCAGAGCCCTGATTAAATCAATAAATTTGGGGTCTCACCAGGGCACTGAGGGGTCTAACAAGACTGGTGAAACCGCACAGAGCCCTGGTAAAACCCTACAGAGCCCTAATTTATTCAGGGCTCTGTGGGGTCTCACCAGGGCTCTGCGGGGTCTCACCAGCCTGGTTAAACCCCACAGAGCCCTGGTAAGACCCCACAGGCCTGAGTGGGCCCTCATGTTTAGGTTTCGCCTAAGGCCTTGCAAACTCTAGAGCCGCCTCTGGTGGTATATTTTAATTTGTCTAATAGCCTTCTTATGACTGCAGTACCACCAGAAATCTGTTGCAAATGCTATATTGAATCGTCCCCACTGTTCTCATAGAAAATGAATCCTATGGATACTAGTCTTTATATCTCTCTGCCATCTAATTTATGTAAGCCAGGTGTGCACAGATCATCTGTTAGCATACAGATCACTACTGTCCTCTGTGCTGCCCTGATTTAACTCTCTTTTCTCTACCTGAATAGGGTATGACACAAACTTAACCTGGGGACATGGAGGTGAAGACAGCCATCAGCAAAAATCAAATGTCTTATTGTAAGCACAATAACAATTAGTTGCTCCTAACAAAAGCTTTCACTGTCCTACAGTTATATAACCATTATCACATTTTTATGCTTAGTAGTTGGTCTTCATCACACCTTTGATTGTCAGAAGCCTTCTTCTGTGATTTTCTTTAACACATTTAAACTAGCATACGTCTGCTTTACGCCACGTTTAAGCTGAACAAAAAGAACTGGAGCGAAGAAGAGTGCTGCTGTTGTAGGGTATGCTTTCATCTACTAACCTGTACTGGTAAATGATATCTGGGTTATGATTGGTTGTTTCTGGCAGCAGCTCCATTCATTGTTCTCCAGTTTTTATATATCGGTCAAAATAAAAAATAATAAATATGGATATATTGGATATATTGAGTTATGGATTTTCCATAACTTTTCATACTAGACACTGGGCACCAGTATCTATAGTGAGTTTGAATCTCCCCAGCAGACACACACAGCAGCAAAACATGACATGACTAAAACCAAAGTATAAAGTTTTAACTTTACATACACTTCATTGTACTTAATTTTGGTTCTATTATCCACTGCTGCCAGATTACACATTTCACCTCAGAGGGGCACCAAGAGTGTACACCATGAAGCCTGGGCCTACCTCTACATCACCTTTCAGATTCAGCTTTCCGGGGCCAGTTTAGATTTGGTAGCTGCAAGAAATTTAGCACTGACAGTTTTCTTTTCACACAAGGCTTTTTTAAATGGAAGATAAACCAAGTAGCCTGCAGTGTGTGTTCAGAATTGCTCTCCTGCATTAATATGTGGTATCCTCAAATCACCAAATCACAGGCAAAAAGGAATGGCATGGACTGTTGTAAAATAGCAATGCTTAGAAGAAAAAAGTGAGGTACTGAGAAGCTAGGTTTTGCTCCCTTTATACATCTCAAGGTTAAATTTCTAACTATAACTAACTAACTTCATAGTGATTCTGTGGTCAGCTATGACAAAAAAAATGTCTTATGCACGACTGGATTTACTTTACACAATTTCTTTGGAATATTCATGTAATTGAATCCTCCCTATACTGAATGAACTATGAATGCATCATTCATCTACAGCAATACTGGAAATTATCATTTTGTATGTATTTTTTAAATGACAAGTATGATGATAGTGAGATCTGATGAACCCCAAACTATGTGGAGAAAATGGAGGAATAGCACTGAAGACTGACATTTTCCCCAGAATTTGCAGGTCAGTAAAACAATATCATGTCTGTGCTAGGCATTAATGGAAGGTGACACATTTAACAAAGGACATTCCTACTGTAACATACTTAGAAGTAATGCAGGGCATCATCTGCAAAGGACTTCTGATGAGGTCCTTTAAAAAATAGTCTGGTATGCAACTGAGAAATACATATTTATAGGCCTTGTGTGCCTCAACAGCTCTGGGTTCTCATTTATCATCGAAACTACAAAGGATAAAGAGTCACGTTTCTGAGGGCCACTGGCTCTGCTATATCAGATTGGACTTACTCTGTAAGCAATCCAAATTTGTAAAATCTTTTCTGTACATATTTCTTGCACCATTTTCCTTTTCTAATCATTAAAATTATATTTAAAAATAATTTAGCTGAATCTCTAAATGCTCTAATTAGAAATTACAAGCTATGCCTCTGTGCCTCTGTGAAGCAGCTACTGTAGTGTAAACTCTGTTACATTCCTGTCTGGACATGGCAGTGAGTAATACATACATATTTACAGGACAGAATTGCAGCAGATGTTGCAAACGGTACATGTTTCCTGTTAAAGTATGTGGCTACCTCATGTCTGTGTAAAAGGTTAACTGCACAGTTAACCTGCCCCAGCGGCAAATACCTCTCAGTCTTCTGGTGCTTTGATTGTTGTCTCATGAGCTAGAACATTTCTGCACAGAGAAGACTGAGTGGAAACCTTATCCAGGTTTCTTTGGTCCAGTCTGTTGACAGCACATGTTCTCTTACCCTCTTCTTCTGAACTGAGCCTAAATGTTACAGAGCATGATGAAGTGGCTCTCTGTAATTCCAGGGTGGGAGACAAAGTCTTGATGACCTAGTCTCAAAGGAAGTGGGTTCCAACTGGACCTGGCTTTAGAGAATAATAGACATATCTGCCTTTAGGCAGGCATAGCTATTATTCTTTATTACCAAGCCCTGCCAATTCAAGATTTTAAAGGGCTGCTGGAAGTGTAGGAGAATCCCTTGGAAGGCCTTGCAATGTACACATGAAGCGTTCTGTATTTCTGTGGACCTTTTTCATGTGGGGACTAGACAGAATCCAACTTATGCGTTTAAGGGTACATTTTCCAGCCAAGAGTACTTCTGATTCAGTTTCTGATTTGTCATGTAGGCGTGTCTGCTGTTGTAAATTGTCAGCTCTGCAGCCCAGCCCCACACCCAGGAAAAATGCTGTGTCTTTTAAAGTGGCAGGACAACACAGCTATTGTAAATTGTAAGCTCAGCAGCCTAGTCCCACCCCCAGGAAGAGTGCTGTGTCTGTTCAAGTAGCAAGACCATACAACTGTTGTAAATGTTAAGATCAGTGGTCACGCCCCCCCTCTGAGGAAAAATGCTGTGTCTTTTCAAGTAGCAGGACCAGATAGCTATTGTAAATTGTAAGCTCAGCAGTCCAGCCCCACTCCCAGAAAAAGTGCTGTGTCTGATCAAGTAACAGGACCACACAGCTATTGTAAATTGTAAGCTCAGCAGTCCAGCCCAACTCCCAGGAAAGGTGCTGTGTCTGATCAAGTAACAGGACCACACAGCTATTGTAAATTGTAAGTTCAGCGGTCCAGCCCACCTCCCAGGAAAAGTGCTGTGCCTGATCAAGTAACAGGACCACACAGCTATTGTAAATTGTAAGCTCAGCGGTCCAGCCCAACTCCCAGGAAAAGTACTGTGTCTGATCAAGTAACAGGGCCACACAGCTATTGTAAATTGTAAGCTCAGCGGTCCAGCCCAACTCCCAGGAAAAGTACTGTGTCTTTTCCTGGGAGCAAGGCCATACAGCGGCGGTAAATTTTAAGATCAGTGGTCCAGCTCCACTCTCAGGGAAAGTGCTGTGTCTTTTCAAGTAGCAGGACCAGACAGCTATTGTAAATTGTAAGCTCAGCGGTCCAGCCCCACATCCAACAAAAGTGCTGTGTCTGTTCAAGTAACAGGACCACACAGCTATTGTAAATTGTAAGCTCAGCGGTCCAGCCCCACATCCAACAAAAGTGCTGTGTCTGATCAAGTGGCAGGACCACACAGCTGCTGAAAACTTCCAAAAGCATTTTCCTTTTTTACGACGAGCAGCGTCACCGAAACTGCGCTCATTCAATTTATCGCTGGAAGCCCTGCTTACAGCTGCCAGCCATTCCAAGATGCAGAGCAGAGTATTAAACATCTTATAAAGCATTCTGCAGCACCTAGGATGTTACAACTGAACAACGGCCAGCTTGCCAGAATTCCAAATGGACAGCAGCATTGTCACTGCCAGCGCAGTGGGCAGAGCAGCTTTTACTTTTTAGGAACACTGGCTGCACAAGTGATAACACAGAGAGAATCCCTTACTGACTATATGTAGCATCACTTATTTATAAAACAGATTTACTGCAGAGCTGCAGAACTGGAAGAATGCAGCTGCAAAAGTAGAATCACCCCCTTCTCTTACCCATGTCAGCAAAAAAACTTTCCTGCAGTCAATGAAGTACAATTATATGCATGGCATCAATAAACAATGAAGTACAATTATATGCATGACATCAATAAACAATGAAGTACAATTATATGCATGGCATCAATAAACAGTAGGCATATGCCAGTAGCAGTATGTACTTATTGCAGCCCTAGAAATGATCAGGCAGAATGCACAGAGCTTGTGCTTTGCAGATCCTGGCACTCACCTCAAAGAAACTGATTCTGCTGCTCATGATCGTTCTGTGGGGAAGTCCTCGCCAGCAAGCCATGCATATCCAGCCGGTGTAGGCACAGCGCAGCCCGAGGACTATGCAGCCAATGGGGACACCAGAATAAGGGGATCCCTGCCAGGAGAAGCCGGGGGTTACACAGCAGCAGCTCTCGTGTTTCGTGTCGGAAAGTGATGAGCATCAGCAGCACTGCACCTCATCCCGGGAGGATACACAGAGCTTATCATAGCAAGCCTGGATCGGGAAGTCAGCCAGCTCTGGGGAGCCTGACTGATACGACTGAGTCCTCTGACTGCGAGGAATACACTCAATGGATGTTCCGGCTCCCAGCCTCTACTTATAAGACTTTCTACTAGTCACATCACATCATCATGATGTCTACACATCCATCTACATCCCAAATCAAAGGGCTGGCAAGCATGGAAGGTGGTACTCTTCCAAGAATTTAAAGGGATATTAAAGGCAAAACGTTGTTTAACCCTTTGATGACCTCCTTCCTGGCCATGGCATTTTTCAGTATTCAGAGCTGCGGTATTTCGACTGACGTGTATTCCGTCATGCAACGCTGTACTAAAATTAATTTTATTCCATTTGTTGGGGACAGATAGAGCTTTCTTTTGGTAGTATGTAATCACCACTGGGGGGGGTTTCATTTTTTACTATATAAATGGAAAAAGTACCGAAAAAAATTTGAAAAAAAAAAAAGTGTTTCCTACGTTATGTTATGTAACATTTATTATTTTGCAGTTTTTTGGTAAAATATAAAAGGCGGGGTCACGTAGGTAAAATAGACACCAAACATGTCAAGCCTTAAAATAGTGCACGCCTGTGAAATTGTAAAAAACTACCATACCCAAAATTGGCCATAGGCAACACTTTAAAAGCTTTTCCTGCTCATCAGTTTAGTGTTATCAGTGATTGATGGCCCTACAATTATTGCTCGCACTCTGACGTTCGCGGAGATATGTAACATGTGCAGAACAATAGCCGTTTATGCACGTAGGTGCACCCGACACATAGTTACGTTTGTATGTGCATATACGTGAGGGCGGGAGACTTTAAAAAAAAAATTTTTTACATTTTTTATACGTGACTTTAATTTTTTTGACTTTTTTTTTCTTTTTTACACTTAATGTTATTGCTATCACATAGGGGGATAACAAGCCCCCTATGTAGAGGCAAAGGGGCACACTGACAGAACCTCTTTATGAAGACATCAGAGTGGGAGAGTGCTGATCTCCCTGCAGTCTTATAGCAGAAACCCGCCCAGTTGGTCCTAGGCCTGCAGAGGGGATGGCGGAGCCCGGGTAAGCCAGTAACAGCAGTGGAGGATGAGGGGGGGGTCAGCACTGAAAGAGGGGGGGCGCACACTGCTGAGCACCATACAAGTGATCGGACGACTATAGAGCTGCACGAACGCTTGTATATGTAACATCAGTTACCAGCTGTTTACATCTGTCAACGTGTTCTGCTAGTGCACATGCTAGGGGGCACGTGCGAGCAGAAAAAAAAAGCCGTATATTTACAGTCACTCGCTGGAGCGAGCTTGCCATCCGTCCATTTATTTACAGCAGACGGACAGCAATCGGTTAAAGTAATGTTAAAGAGGAACTCCAGAATTTTAAAAAGTTAACCCCACACTGCAAGAGTTAACTGCTCCTTTTGGTCTAGGGGAAAAATAAAGCAAATATACTTACCTGATCCTTGATCTGGCTGCTAGACCCATCTCTGCAACCTCTTCTCACCCAGGCTAACAACCCCCCTATGTGATAGCACATTAGAGATGACAGGTTTTAAGGAGACATTAGGGTCCCTTAATGTCACCTTTGCACTCCAGTGAAGCTAATTAGGGACAGATCATGCTTGATCAGCTTTTTCCATGTCCGCTATGGCTAGGTAGTGACAGCTCTAAACCCGGAAGTTATAAAATCATCATCACTTCCAGGGTTAATCCATGTTGTCCTCCTGGGATATTGCAGCCTAGTAAAATCTGCTTACATACTATGCAAGAAGTCAGTGCAGTATTTATAGCCATAGCCTCTAAAATAAAATACTGTAATTTTGTTATGATAAATCATGCCTGTTCCCTCCCTGTTGAATTGCAGTCTAATAACGTTTAATACAGCTGTTTATGTACTCTGCATCCACTACACAGATCGGCACTATCGATCATGAAGTGAGCAGAAACATGCCGCCGATCCGCTCATTTCCCGATCGTCTCCCTGCAATGAACGGTGACTGTCAGTCACGGCTCCCCGCAGGGATTTCCCGTCCCTCTCTCCAATTCTCCAGCACTGACTGGAGGATTGAACGGGGGAGGGGGCGGGCACAGCTGACTCTGCCTCTAGACAGGCAGAGCCAGATGTCACTCATGCAGCTGGGTGGATCTCGACAGTATTGTTGGGATCCGTCCCGGCTGCGGCACTCTCAGTATGTCACGGGCAATAGCACGCGATATACTGAGCTTTGGGTCACGGGAGGAGGTTAGTATATGTCCTCCAATGACCCTAAAGAGAACTATTGGGAAAAACACTTACCGCATAGTTCTCTTTTAAGGCTAAATTCAGCAGGAGTTTTATGTCAGAAAACCATGTGCAGATGGCACCAAGAGAACGCCTTGTCACCATCATCACCTCTGAAAGGCTGGTGTCTAAGCTGGTAGCCTTATCTTCCAAGGAACACATTGTTTGAATGTTTGCATAGGGACAAGGTGCTGCTTAGGCTTGTTAGTTTTTTTTTGGAAGGTAGGGCTCAGGTTGCATCGCTGTCCCTGCCAGTGTTTTCCTCATGGCAGAGATATAATAACTTAATGGGATCTATGGTAAATGAGGTGGGGTGAGGGTCCAAATAGGAGGTAGTTGTGCACACACCACTGTTGCACAGAGGATGGATGCAGCCATGGTGAGGAAATGCAGCACAAAGTTTATTTGCCAGATTGTCTCAGATTAGTACAATTCGTGATCCCTCTTGTTTGGTAAGAGAAGATGCCCACATAATTTTCCCCATGTGTCTGGAAGGAATGAAACATACCCCTTGAAGCTCCCCCAAAATTACTCCTGCTTCTCACTGGAAGCACCCCAACATTCCTCCTCCAAATTGCCAGCATGATTTCACTTCTCCCAGCCTATGGTTAAAGGTTTTGCCCTTGCAGAAATGCCTGCAGTGTGAAGGATCTTTGCACCTTCATGAAATGCTGAAAAGAGGTTGTCGCAGATCACATCCTCAAAATGGGGAATGTTGTCTCCCGTTGTGATGATGGCAGTAGATCCCCAGATTTCCCACTTGTATCAGGGAGGGAGGAAACATCCCCTTGAAGATGCCGCAAATTTCCTCCAACAATTTACAATTCTCCTCCTCCCATTGTGCCTTTGGCGGGAGTAGCAGAAAAAGAGGAGGAGGAAAAAAAAGGTATATTATCAGTCCTCAAAAAAATGTCTACTATGCACCCTTGAAGAGGCAGCCAACATTAAGAGTCTATATAAAATGGCTGATATGCACGTCTGTATGGGAGGATGAGGAAAAGGATGCATTAGCAGGCCAAAAAACATGGCTGCTATGCACCCTCTAAGAATGAGGAGGAAGAAGATGATGGGTAACAATAATGAGGTCCGTTGAACCCCAAAATGAGTAAGGAGAATACAGAAGTTGGGTGGCACGCCATGCCATTCTCATTTCTCCTAAAAATGGCCAGAATTGATTTTCAGGATTCACCCCTCATTGACTTCAATAGGGTTTGGATTACAGTTTGCAATGTACTGCTTTTTCGATGGGTTTGGCATGAGCATGGTGCAATGATAGACAAATATGGTGGATTTTCATATGGGAGAATTATTACAAACATAAACTAATTTTCCAGTGAGCCCTTTATAAATTACCCGTGGATATTTACAAATAGTTTTTAGGTTGCTCTTCACGGGTTTAGTTCTTTATTGAGCCGTTTACCAGGACATCACATTTTGGAAAAGTTCTTCTCCCATGTGAATAACATGAAATGGCTTTTATTTGTCTCAAAATGTACCAGATGCTGTTAGATTTGTTACATTGCTGTCCTGCGGTCATAAGTGCATTCACAGATTACAAAATGCTTAACAAAGCATTTATCATGCTTGTGAGAAAAGCTCTGCCACATATCTTTAGCATTGAGCTCTCTTGTCCTATTATAAATGCAGTGTGCTCATTCTGATGAGTGAGTTCAACCTCCACTTGTGAAAAGAGTTCTTTAGGTCCTGACTCATATTCTAAAGAATTGCAGTTCTTTATGAATGATCCGGAATTACAACAAAATTCATTTATTAGATTCTGATGTTGCGGCGTCTCAGTATACCGCGAGCTGCAGCTCGCGGTATAATGAGCCTAGGGTGACGGGAGGACGATAGCTTGTGTCCTACCGTTACCCTAAGGAGAAATATGGGGAAAAGCCTTAACCCCATAGTTCTCCTTTAAAAGCCTTAACCCCATAGTTCTCTAAGTGAGGACATTGATGACCCACCAATGTCCTCACGTCACTGAAGAGCACCACATGAATGTTTACATAACACTGACCTTTCTTTCATTTTAAATAAAATATTTAAAAAAGATTTTTAGGGAATAAGAAGAAAAATGGATTCTAAATAGCAAATTGAAAAATATAGATAGAACACAAGCACACATCCAGCATTAAAGTGCAAAGACTGCTATTTTTCATCCTATTTTCCCATAATGTCTGAAAAACCTCAAATAACAACAAAATGCACTAAGGGGTCTATGTATAAATCTTTTCACACAAAATTTGCATAATGTTCACACAAGATTCACACATTTTTATATTTGGCTTTAATTGGTTGTATGAATCTTGTGTGAAAACATGTATAGATAGAACCCTAAAAACAATCAAAGCAACAAAAAAAAGAAACATTTTTGGGGTATTTTATTTCTATGTTACTTTTTTATCACAGCATCATGATTACAAATGCTGTGATGAAAAAAGAATGAGGCCTGGTTCACACACACGCAAAACACAGATTCGTGTTCAACTCAATGGAGGCCA